CAGTTTTAACTTATATTTTTTTTGTGAATCTTTGATTGCTTTGATTGTTTTTAATTATATACAATTAACTGTTTGTAGTAATTATTATTATACTAAATATGAAAACAAAAAAGGGTAATAATTTTTTTAAAGGGAAGTTGAAAATCAATATTATAAAAAAGAAGAGAGGGATAGGATAGCAAGGTTAAGTGAGAAGAGGTAGAAAAGGTTAGGAGAAAATAAAAATAAAGAAATGTTGAAAAAGTAAGCACATTTAGAAACTATAAGAAGCTATATCTTTAGAGCTGTTAGTGCTACCCCCCCCCCCCNTTAAATAAAGTGAAAATGATGCTGTGTACCATGAGAGAAAGGAGAAGATTGGAAGAAAATTGGCTCTCTTATAAATCCGAATACAGAATTGAAAATCATAGAATAACAAAAATTTTAGAGAAAAGTTTTGTGGCAAAGACTCAATTCCTCTGCCAGTGGTTCTGCATATTTTAAATTTTTTCCGGTCTTGTCAAAATTATCTAATTTTCAAGACGTCATTTTGGTTTTATCACTTATCATTTTAATATATATATTTACAGGATAGTTGCAGATCTCTTTCAGTTTCTAAATAAATACAACATAATAATGTTCTACAACCTGAGGATTTAATGAACACTGAAAAGTAGTTGAACTGGGTCTGTCCAGTCAAACTACTGGAGTTGGTTGGTTGGTACTGCCGTTAACTACAGCTAGGGTGTCCCAATAAACATGGGAATTAAATGACGACTTCAATATCGTCTTTGTAACAAGCGGGATTATTTTGTTTATATAATTTTTTAATATCCCAGTTGAAACATATAACACCGAATTCCAAAATGTGGTGTTCCATATTTTCCTTCCAAAATTGACGGAGATATTTCAGTATATTAAAAATCAACATAACGGTTCAAATGTTTGATAACTTGGTAAATTTTTAAGATACTTTATAGGCAGACCACATTTTTGAAAGCTCAATAAGACTTTCGATCTATTTTTGATGCACTGTATGTTATTTATAAATTATCGGAAATCAAAGACGACATCCAAGTCGTCTCTCAATTCCCATGTTATGGGAACACCCTGTATGAGTCAGGTTGTAAGAGTTCCTAGGTTCATTCATTCATTCATATTTTTATTCAACTACAAAGCACGAGATAATACAAATAAAAAATTACAATTTACTATGTAGTTTGGACCTGCCTAACCAGAGTTGGTTGTTTTGATTGGTTGCTTCTAAACTGTGGTTTTTTTCAAGGCTTGGATATACACTGAAGGGTTCTTTCTCAAAGATTCTTTATGTATTATGTTTTTCCCAAAATATAGTTTTGTATCGTAGATATTTTCTTAAAAAGAAGATTATGAATTTATATTTACTAAATCTAAATTCATATATTAATGTAAAGTTCAGTAAAACTAAGTCTTTGAGATAATTTAAAGTTTACAAAAACAAGTTTATGAATCCATGTAAGATTATTTAAAACAAGTTTTCTTATGCTGGAGAATGTTGGTTCATGGATTCGTCCCAAGGGATATATCAGGGTCTAGATACAACTACTGGACAACAACTAATCTAGACTTGGGGACACCTTCAAGGTTTAACATGGAGAAAAGTTGCAAGGTTTCACCCTGAGAAAGTTTGTACGATTCAAACCTAAAGATTTTTTGTAAGACTAAACCCGTAAAAGGAGACAAGATTTTTCCTTGAACCTGAGGAGTATTGACACCTGGATACCTAGTTTACCCTTCAATGAATCCAAGTCCTACCAGATACTGCTGGTTGATTAGTAAACCAATAATAACCTTATCAACATGCACCAGTTCTAAGTTTCCAACATAATACAATATATATTATTTTTGTACAAGTAAAAAGATCAATGTATAAAATATAAATATAAAAGACAAGATATTTGATATTTCCTATTTCTAATTTGTGCCGAATACAAGAGACAGGGATCCTAGATTTGTCAGATAAGATACAAACTATCCTTCGTTTTTGCTGAGTCAGGATTCTGTGATGTTACCCTTCTCCGATACAAGATTCAGCAGTATTACATCTCTCTAGAATACAAGATGCATACAGATTATAAATATGTTCCGAGGAGAACATTGTTCACAGAATTCCTTATTTTCAAGATTTTACTAAATAATATTTTGAGACAAAACGAGTTTCTATCAAAAATCTTAAATATTTATTTTTAAAAGATTTCAAAGGTTTAGTATCAAGAAGTCAATTTTTAAACAAGTATGCAGATTACAGAGTATGCAGATTACAGAGTATGCAGATTACAGAGTATGCAGATTACAGAATATGCAGATTACAGAGTATGCAGATTACAGAGTGTGCAGATTACAGAGTATGCAGATTACAGAGTATGCAGATTACAGAGTATGCAGATTACCGAGTATGCAGATTACAGAGTGTGCAGATTACAGAGTATGCAGATTACAGAGTGTGCAGATTACGGAGTATGCAGATTACAGAGTGTGCAGATTATAGAGTATGCAGATTACAGAGTATGCAGATTACAGAGTCTGACACGACAAGCTGTGACTTCGCAATTTGACAGTTTAAACTTAATTCTTTTTGTCTTTAATACTTTTTTGTTGGCGGATGCATTTTTATTGACAGCTTTGTAAGAAGAATGCTGAATTATAAATCAAAAGACGATCGAATTCAAAATTGAGAAAACAAAACCCTTTTCGCCCTGGTAAATCCAGGGTGATCAATTAAAGTATCTAATGATTTAAGTAGAAAAAGGAACTCAATAGTCTTCAAAAATAACAAAGCTGTTGGTTTACAGCTTCAACCTCAAAGCTGTTGGTTTACAGCTTCAACCTCAAAGCTGTTGGTTTACAGCTTCAACCTCAAAGGTTGAGTGTATAATCTCGAGAAACTACAAATCCTTAGCTCCAGGTTGAGAAATGAGGATATATCCTGAACCCTGAGAAGATCCAAACCTCTGTAGTTGGATTTATAACCTTAACCCTGAGAAACTTCTAACCTCTTAGATTGAAGGTATGTTATGAACCTAAAGAACTTCGAAACCTCAAAAGGTTGAGTTTAAAGCTCCGAACCCCAAAATGTTTAAAGTATATATACTAAACCCAAAGAAACTCCAAACCCCAAAAAGGTAGAACATGTATCTTTATGACAGAACTTAACCCTGAGAAACTTCAAACCTCTGCAGGTAAACGGTATATCCTGAACCCTGAGAAGCTCTGAACCTCTACTGCAGATTTAACTAATTAACAACATATTTCTTCTCACACCTAACTAATATATCTTGGTGAACTTTTTAAAGATTTATTTCACAATTTTCAAATTTCCTATTTTTTCCTAACATCTGCTCGCCATCATGTTTTTAACGGTTTACAATTAGATTTTCTTTGTCACAAAATCTTTACTTTAATAAGACATTTTGAGTTGATAAATCGTTGATTGTCCCTAAATATGCCATCTTAAAATATTTCTGGATAACTTTCCTCTTAAACAAACGGCATTTAAATATTGACAATTTTGAAGACTACAACATTTTATTCAAACAGTTTTACAATTTACTTTATACCTTCACAGATTTTGATTCCAGGCTTGGCCTTAGTTTGCAGATGCGTCATCGTTAAGAGAGTTAAATTTGTTGGGTCCTTTTTTGTGTCGTAAATCTGCAATTAATATTCTGAGTTATGTTATCCTAGACCTCGTTTATCAATCATCTCAGCTCAAGAAACTGCCCTTGACAATTTCAAGCTTTCTGCTGGATATTGCACGGACTAATTAAACACACACCCCGAGAGAGAAATTCAAAAGAAGTCGAGGGATGTCGCTTCACTGATTTTACAAAAATTATAAAAGGATTATTTAGAAGAGAGGGTTTCTCAAATTTAATGGGTGTAAAGAGAAGGAACCGGGCTTGTTGCTTTCCTACTCCGCTACAGTTTCATTTCTCCAGTTCTACTCTCCAGTCAAGAGCGGTAGCTCCCCCGGACCGGAGATATAGTTTACTCCAACCCGTCCCAACTATATCCGGCTAGTTCAGCAGATATGATACTTCGATAAACATGGAAAAGTGAAAAAAGAATATATTTACCAAATCTCGAGAACTTTATCGAGTTGTTTTAGTTTACTCTAGTGAATCATGTCGAATGTAGTTAAAATAATTTTCCTACTTTTCCTAGGTAAACATTTTTCTTTTGTATCTGCGTGATAATTGTTAAAAATAAGCTTTGTTATGATCTAGATTTCTTTCTTTTATTTTTGTCTTAATTGCTTTCCCCCCATTACTTGAGTTGTAAATGTCAGATTAAAACTTAAAATTAGAAAAAGAAACGAAATAATTAAACGATTAGAATATATCACCAAGGTTGGTAAACACTAAGATAGTTTAGCTAGAACCGAATATGATAGTTAAGCTAGAGCTGAGTATGATAGATAAGCTAGAGCTGAATATGAAAGTTAAGCTAGAGCTGAATATGATAGCTAAGCTAGAGGTAAATATGATAGTTAAGCTAGAGCTAAATATGATAGTTAAGCTAGAGCTGAATCAATAAATAATAATTATCGGTTAGACCAACACCAAAGCTTAAATTTTAAAACCTCCAAATCCTCCAACTCTTTATTTGTTCGATTTATGTTTCGCGTCTGATGTTTCTGTCAATGGTTTATTTGATTTTTTATACATTTCTGTTATATTTAAGATGCTCGCCTATTGATGCATATGGAAATAAACGTTAATTAATCAATCAATCAATCCTTGTCAGCCGAACAAAACTTCATATTCAGGATAGATATTTTTCGTCAAAAATTGAATATTGTTTCGCTACAAAAATTTTATTATTTTTTCTTGTAATCATCAATGAAGATAAATTTTTCTTTACTTCTCCTCTTTTTATCATGCCTTGATCTTAGTCGTCCTTTTCACCTCTTTCTTTTTCCCTTTTCCCTTTTCCTTTACCCTTTGTGCTTTCCCTTCCTCTTTTTCTCCTTTTTTTCCCCTTTTTCTTTAACATCCCAAATATTTCTCTTTGTTCTTTATTTTCCCTTTCCACCTTCTTCTGTTTCTTCTCCTCCTTTCCTCCCAATCCCTGATAACCTTATAACCTGATAATCCTTTACACATTATTCTTCTCATCTCTTACATAGTTTTCAGATCTTGACAACTGTTTCAGATGTAAATAGAATTCCAGGTTTGACAAATATCTGATGTTTTCAATTTGGAATCCTTGTCAGAATAGGGATGAAATAAGAAATCCCCCCACAATGATAAATTGACTTAAAATTGTTCCAAGTTGATTTGTATCTTTTTCTCCGGGTTCAGCTTTTTACTGAAAACCAGGTTTCAGGAACATGACTCAAGGGACTTGGAGGGAAAAGGGAAGATGGTTGGGGTTTAAAGGAGGGGGGGGGGAATCAAAAGCGGAAAAAGAAAAAAAAAGAATATTTCATTTCATATCTGTATGATTAATTTAATGAGACTGAGCTTATTTCTTAATGTAAACATGAGTTGAGAGAAAAGTTATATAATTAGGTGGTTTCCTGCTTCCTTCTAAACCTTATCCAGGGTCTCCAGGGTGCACATGGACTTATAGATATTTATCAACACATTTTTGACAAGTTCCTAAGTGTTCAATAATATATTTCAGTTATATTGTACAGTGAACATGGCGTTTATTTCATTTTATAATCTACGCTGTACACTATACAGAGGGTTTGTTATTAGGTTAGGTTTCTCTCATAATAGTTCTGACCTTGATGATTTGCCTTTACAGCTTACGCTTATATTATTCTACTTGACTATAATATGTGTTTTATATGCAAATCCTGAATATATTACTGTACAAGGATTAAGGATAAATAAAGAAACAACATGATATATTCCTAGAGACAAAGATTACAAAGCTAAGACTGATTATTCAAAAGTCCTGCCTAATGATGCAAGGGACCTGGAGAAACCATAGAAACCATTAATAGGAAATTAGATTTAATCAAACTACAGAAGAGGCGGGATGAGAAGTAGAGGAAAAAGAAAAAATGAAAGAAAGGAATTTAGAAAAATGGGGCAGACAGAATCAAAAAATATAAATAAAATAAAGAAAAAAGAGAAAAAATTACTGAAAAAAAACATATAATAGAAATAGGTTTTCATTACTCTTCATGATCCTTGTTCCTTAGGATTCTAGGAGAGTATAGAACTCCTCAACTCTTTTCAAACTTCCTTCAAACAATAGAAAATGTAATCTTATTTCTTTTTGATGAAAACAGTGAAACAAAAGGGTCGGAGAAATACCAGGCCCCGGCAAACCCTAATAAAACAAGAAATTCAACCTTTCTTCCTGCAACCTCGGGTTCATAAAATTAAATCTAAAAAATGACCGAAGTAAAAAATAATTTTCTCCCAAGATGTCACAAATAAGGTCTAAATTGAGAAACTAAAATTGTGTTAAATAAATGTTCACAGTTTTAAACTTACTTATCTCAAGAATTCTTAGTTCAAGCAAAGTTTTGTTAAAAATCTGGTGCACTGAAAATAAATCTGTTTAAATGTTTTATTAAAAACCCTGAGATAGATATCCTTCTACTTAAACCAATTGATCAATTTATAAGGCTTTAATCAGTATTGGCAGGTTTTTTCCTCAGGAAATAAACATTAACTTTTTACGTCCGGAACTTTTTTTTCAAAATGGCGTCATAGAACAAGCTTTTTGTTCAATATTTATTTCTAATACTACTAATAAAATAAGACCTTTTATAAGAAACATACATAGGTTTCAATAAATATATCATAATTTAATATCTTTCTTAACTAAATTTTTAAAACACGTCAATTTTAAAATGAAAAAATATTATTCTTAAAAACTTAATAAGATTTTTCAGTGGAAATTCTATTCTTTTAAACACCGTTTATTTTTGAAGAATTAATACGCTGGATCAACGTACCTAAAAGGCCAAGTTTGCTTCAAATAGTTAAATTTAATTTAAACAAAGATTTACTTTTAGATTAGTTATTAAACTCTTATCAAAATATTACGACTAATTAAAAATTAAAGAAAATTCCTGGAACTCTTCATTAATTTGATCAAATTTTTCTGAATTCTTTTTTATTTTACGAAAATCATTCAAGGATCGAATTTATATTTAATCCTTTCTATAGTTCGGGAAGAAATTTTCTCCGAGTTAAGTATAATATTGGAACAGGGTTTATTCAGAATTAGACTATTATTCTAACCATTCCCTTGTCTTATACATATATATATATAGGTTCTGTATCTAGGTCTAGGATTAATGTCTGAATCTGTATCCAAGCTTTTATTAGAATATATGTAAGTTTAGGTTCTGTAAATAGATCCAAGAACAAATTATCTGTATGATGTATCAGGTTTAGGATTAATGTATGATTCTGTATCTCGGTCTAGGATTAATGCATAATTCTGTATCCAGTTCTAGAATTAATATATGAGTCTGTATCCAGGTCTAGGATTAATATATGATTCTGTATCCAGGTCTAGGATTAATGTATATGATTCTGTATCCAGGTCTAGGATTAATGTGTGACTATGTATCCAGGTATAGGATTAATATATGAGTCTGTATCCAGGTCTAGGATTAATATATGAGTCTGTATCCAGGTATAGGATTAATGTATATGACTATGTATCCAGGTCTAGGATTAATGTATGGTTCTGTATCCAGGTTTAGGATTAATGTATGATTCTGTATCCAGGTCTAGGATTAATGTATTAGTCTGTATCCAGGTCTAGGATTGATGTATGAGTCTGTATCCAGGTCTAGGATTGATATATGATTCTGAATCAGGGTATAAGATTAATAATTGTTGGAAGGACAATTACTCCAATAAAGGAGGACAATCTTGAGATGCAATCTAGTTTCTACTCTTGGAGAAATATTCAACCTGCTGCCAAAACTAGAATCCAACTCTATAAGCTTAATATGATAAGGAAGGAAGAGATATTTACGCCAAAACTAGATGTGTAAATTTTTTAAATTGCAACGCTTTTCTCTGAAAGTTTGATAAAAATTCGTAAACCCCTTTTTGCCACTATGTTTAGAAGTTTAAAAGTTTTAAGGTTGCTTGGACTGAAAGTTAAACAGACAGTTTTTCAACTGATTGAAGCGAACTTTAATATAAAAAGAAGAGTCTAGAGCCTGGAAAGCACGGTTAAAGTTTGGTTTATTTTAACAGGCCTGGTTGGGTCGGATCAGGGTGTTAATAATAGATATTTACATTTGGTTACAGGAAATACTAGAGTACAGTTTATTGATTAAACTTTGGTGCAGAACTATAGTTTATACCCTGAGCATATCAATCAATCCTTAATCCTGCAGTCTCTGTCCCTGATTACTCAGAGGAAAAACTAACCCTGAGTATTTATGTTTAGGAGAAGGTGTCTGTGACCTCCAGTATTTTCTCCGAACTCCCCGGAATACAAGTGTTGCGGAGGGAGATACAGCAGTCCTAGGTTGTCAGGTTGGAAACCTCCTGGGACGTGTTCAGTGGACAAAGGATGGACTAACTCTAGGTAAACTATCAGATTCTTCTTTATTGTTGGAACATTTTCTCTGTAAAACTTGGTACATTTCAGAGCTAAAATTTTCAATATTTTCTAGGTTAAAATGTGAATATTATTGATGTAGAGACTTGAACTATATTGTCTAAATAATAAATGGAAATATTTTTAACCTTTAATACTTAAAGCGAGTGAGAATAAAAATGATTAATGGATCAAGTGGAAAGAAGTATATGTAACTAGGAGAAGTTTCTGTATTAACAACTGAGTGTAAATGAAACCTAGAAGGGTTTGAATGGTGTATATTGTCGGTACAGAATATAGAGTGGTTTCTTTATAATTGATAATCCTTTCTACACCTCAATACAAGTTCCATAGGTAGAGACCCGTAGAGAATAGAACTTAAAGTGGTAGAACATGCCAGTTTTATAGGCAAAATATAGAGTTTTAATGTTAAACTGTAAGACTGAGGATCTACTGCTATGCTGAGATAGTGTTTATGTTACAACTAGGGAAATTCAATAAACCCACTCTAATCCAAATAAAAGAAACAATTCAAGCTGGTTACACTGCTCCAGAGGGTTGGTTCTAGCTCCGGGTTGGTTTCAGCATTTCCAAGGGTATCTAGAGATATCACACGGGAGTGAGAGGGGGGGGGGTACACTCTAAGTTTGCTATGATGTTTATATATTTGCATATTATAATTGAACTAAGCAGTTAGTATTGGTGTTATCAGGCTTGTTGTAAATAATACTGAAATTTAAACCTCGAAACACAAACTAACTGCGGGATATCAAGACCTGCAGGGCGTTTATGATAATTAGTAAAATTCAAACTGCGCGGTTAACCTTCCCTAACCCCCACTCCTCCTCCCTCCTTTCTTTTCATGAAAAAAAAACCAAGTCCCTTCTCACCTCTGCCTCCATCCCTCAGACCATTCCTAATCCCTTCCAATTCTTCCAATCCCTCCGACAATTTCTTTTCCTCCAACTCATTCAACTCCTCAGACCATTCCACTGCCTCAAACTCTTTCAATCCCTCCGACTGTTCTCTAGCTTTTTCAATTCCTTCTACCATTCCCTTTCCACCGACACTTGCAATCCCTCCGACCATTCCTTTTCCTCCAACTCTTTCAATTCCTCAGACCATTTCGATTTTTCAAATCCCTTTAACATTTGTAATGCCACAAGCTTTCCACCCCCCCCCCCACCACCTTCTTGCATCCTCTATTATAAAACCTCCCCTGACCCCGCCTTATATCTACTCAACCAGATAAAAGTTGGTAAGTCTAGTTTTGTTGGTTTCAACTCATCTTTTCTATCCGTTCTTACTCCAAGTCCCTAAATATGTATGGAGGAAATGGAAAAGAGAAAACTTGTGAAAAGAACTAAAGCTTCCTAAGCTTGACTCGTGCTACTGGATAAAGGTGGAGGAGTAGGATTGAGAATGTTTGATTGAATTCTTCAACCTTTATAAATGTAAAGAAGGAAAAGAAACAAAAGTATGTGTTCTTTGAAAGGAAGGTGATGGAATATTTTGGGGAGGGGGGTGGGAGGGGGTAGAGAAAGCTGAAGAGATGATCAGATTTAAGTTATTAACCCTAATCTAGTTATACTTCTCCCCACGAAGTTTCGGAGCAACTTCTAATCTCATATTCTGTATTTTCTGAGCTTGTCTCCTGGGTTTCCAGAAAACGAGCTGTCTGTGAGCAAACATTTATCCAAACCAGCTCTAATCACTTTTAACGTAAGTTCGTTGGTATTGTAAGCTTAGATGTTATTATGTACAAAAAACAACAATTGCTAGTTCTGTTTATTCTGTAAAATTATTCATCAGTGAAATGATGTTTTACAAATACTCAACATTTCTTTTGTTCTATACTCGTATTACATGTTACAAAAAATTATGCTTTTCCGTTTAAACCTATCTGTCTCTGATGTGTAAACCTGTCTAATGCTTAAACCTATCTGCCTCTGATGTGTAAACCTGTCTAATGTTTAAACCTATCTGTCTCTGATGTGTAAACCTGTCTAATGTTTAAACCTATCTCTAATATTTAAACCTCTATTTTATGTTCAAACCTGATTTTAATGTTCAGATCTGGAATCCGATTTCTGAAATGAGGATATGGCGGGGTAGAGTTAGTAATGATAGCACATGAATATAGACAGGATATAACCCAGAGAATATATAGTGGGATATTTGGGGGAAGAGAAGGGATTGGCAAGTGTAGAGCTAGATGGTTTAGATTAGTAAAAACTAGAATTGTTGTCCTGGTACTCCCAGGAACACAGGACTCCTACTCTCCCGGTCCTACTTGAATTGGCAAGAAATGCTTTCGCATATCAGTCAATATACTGATAGTAATTTCTTTTATTGGTCAAACCTAGTTCAGGAAATTAATTCTTAAATATTTAATGAGCAATTAATCCATTTTTCCTGTGACAATTAGGAGCTATAAGGGTTGCAATTACTAGGCTCTGGAGAAAAATACAAAACAGGTCTGATTAGCGGATTAGCGTCTATCTAGCGGAAGAAAGTATGAGATTAGTATTGTGAGTGTGTGCATTTATGTATTGGAATCCAATAGCTGTTCTGCTACAAGGTTGGGATGGGTCGGAGAAATCATTTTTATATAAACCCTTCTCTCCAGGTCTAGTTCTAGATACACAGAATCCGAGACATTTGATTTATTCTTCACTTTATCCAGAGTCTCTCAGCTTCTAGCTCTTCGTGTCCTTTCTTTGATTTATGGAACGTGTATTCCAAGACGAGAAGGATTTCTCAGAGGAAAATTCAAAAATCTTTCTCATCCTTCTCCCTCTCACTTCTTTATCTACAAATATAGAGTTCTCTCATAATAAATGTGTATGCTGCAAAAATTGCTATATATATAAATTTTGAACAGGTTTTATCTTTATTTGCAAAAATATAGTTTGAAATATTGAATTTTCTCTCTCCCCCCCCCCCACCACCACTTTGGAATTTACGCTAATGGTAAGCATATTTAAGTCTGCTCGACTTGTTTACAAAATATTTGTGGATCCGGCGGGACGAAATAGATTAAAATGCAGATTCAGGATTCAGGAATAGTTCTCAAGTTGGGTTTTGACACATTAGGACCTGTTATTTATGCTTTCACTGCGGGGTTCCCCCCCTCCTCCCTAAAAGCATAAAGACCTCACAAAGATTAGATTTGATCAAATCTAGCGGTACGCTCCGCCCCCGACAGTTATTGCCTTATTCCGTGATTTTTTTTATATTTAGTTAATCTCCGTCCAAAACTCGGCAATGCTAATAATGGAGAAAAACCGCAGGCTTTCAGGGCTTTCAAAAATCTAAATTAAACTTGCAAAAAATTTCGTGATTCAGGTCGGTGTTTACAGCAGGAGGTGGAGGGGGGGCATTCTCAATCCGAGGTGGTTCAATTTAATCATAGCATATTAGAATACAGGGCGGGGGGGACAATAAGGATTTTATAAACATTTTAATGATAAAAAAACGATTATATAAAACACTAATAATAATTAGTAAATTATCAATTCTAAAAATAAAAAATACCACATAAAAAGATTTTCATTTCTTTACCAAGTTGGATTGTAAAGATGATGATAAAGATACGTTTATGACATCTTAGGTTTATAGTTGATAGAGAACCAGGATATAAAGACAAGAATTGATAGCTGTAACATTTACTGCTCTCTTACTCAGGGAACTGATTGAGTAAGGGGGAGACTACAATTCAAAGACAAGAGTTGGACATTTATGAATGAGATTTATCTTGAACATAGTTAAACCACTGATTTAAGCTCAAAGTTTGCATTGGAATTTGTCGATTTATGCAAGTCTTCAAAACCAATATGCATTGGGAGGAAATTTTGATTTAACCTAAAAGATTCAAAAAGATTACAGATAAAATACTCTTAATTGCACCTCTTTCTCATTAAAAGATGAATTGATTGATTGATTGATTGATTGATTGATTTTAGGGTTTGATCGAGATCTGCCGGGGTTTCCACGTTATCGAGTTCTCGGACAGGATGAAGAGGGCCGATACAATCTCCAGGTGAGTTTATCAACTTCCACTATCTGTCTATCTATTCATCTCCAGGGATTCTCACAAAACCTGGATTTTTTCAAGATTTCTACAATGAGGTTGTCCGAGAAGGAGGAATATAAAAGTTTAATAATTTCATCTTAAACAGCTGCGTTTTCGTGTTTTTTTTTCATTCAAAATCTTGCTCTAGTGGAAGTATGTAGATTATGAGTACTAAACACATCGCAGATACATGAAAAATACATTAGGAGTAATACGGAGCATAAGAAGTACATAATAAGTACATAAGAAGCATAAGAAGTACATACGAAGTAAATAAGAAGCATAAAAAGTATTAAGAAGTACATAAGAAGTAAATAGGAAGCATAAGAAGTACATACAAAGTACATAAGAGGTACATAATCTCTATTTAGATAAGTGATGCTAGTCTACTAGATGATTCTAAGTATGAATGCCAGGTTGGTCCTGCAAGTGGAAATCCACCAATCAGAGCTAGTGCATACCTTACTGTACTTTGTAAGTATAATAAAAACAAAAAACAAAACATTCACAAATACTTTTCTGCAAAAATAGTTTACCATTTCCTTTCCAAATCAAGTTTAATAATAGTAAGTATAACAGAAATATAAAGGCCATTGAACATGAAATAAAAATATTAGAATTTATAAATAAATGCAAAATCTAAGAAAAGTGTACGAATGCAAAAATTAAAAGAAACATTTCTGATTTTCAATTAAACTTTTTCCTGAAGCTCAGATCTCCATCCTCCCCCCTCCACCAAACCAACAGCTAAACCATCAAATCCAACTTAGTTCTGCACTGCTAGAGTTGGAACTTCTGCTTTGCTTAATGCAGATACAGAGTACTGAGCAATTACCCCTTGCAGTGATTGTTAGAGCTAGTGAAGTAAACGGAAACCTTCCTAAATCTTTCTAACAATAAAATATTAAGTTTGATCGTTTTACTAAGTTTAGATGGAAATTGCAGGTTTGCGCCAGGGGTAAATAACAAACTGATAGTTACAGAGTTAGAGACCCAACAGAGTAAAAAGGCATTATGACAAAAGCTACAGAACTAGAAAGTTAGAAGTTTACTGTATAGAGGGTTCCACATTATTATACAAATTGAAACAGTTTTGACATTAATGTCAATTCCATCAATTTCAGGCTGTCTTTTACAAGTTCCCCTTCAATACCCATACAGATACACTTACAGTTAGCGAAACTATTCTCAGTAGAAGCAAGGAAAGGGAAGGGAAGGGAAGGAAAGGGAAGGGAACGGAAGGAAAGGGAAGGAAAGGGAAGAAAAGGGAAGGAAAGGGAAGGAAAGGGAAGGAAAGGGAAGGAAAGGGAAAGATAGGAAAAGTAGAAGACGGGGGAAAAGAGGTGGATTCTGATGAGAGAGAGGGAAAGCGAGAAGATAGTAGGAGGGAAAGAAAAGAATGGAATTGGAAGAGAAAATAGAATTTGAAATGTTAATCTGATTAGAACTACACTTATCGTAAAAGGAGAAGGAACAGTATATTTGAAATCTGCTGGCATTTGCCAAATAGTTCTGAAATGGGTATTGAACACATCAAATTTTTATGACGACCCCCTCTACTGTACTTCTATCGGAAAGGAGGTTAAGAATGTACATAACCGACCACCGCCCCTATCCACATAATATTCAACAATATTTTGCAACAAAAAACCTCCTTGTTCTTCTCTCCTAAAACCCTCTGGTTTAAAACTATTATTTCTATCAAAAAGTGCATAAATAAAAACAATTTTGTAAAAGTTTTCATAAACAATTTCTTATCTTCAAAAGATGTTAGTGTATACTAAGTATTTAAAAGCTTCCTAATGATATCCGAACTAAATTCATGAAATACAATCCTAATTGTTTCAGTGCCTCCGAAGAAAATCGAGTTTATAGGACATCACTCCGGGTCCAGGATAGAGAGGAAGGAGAATGAAAACCTGGAGATTAGTTGTAAAGTATCTGACTCTAAACCTGCAGCGGAGATTGTTTGGTTGAGAAACAACATTCCACTTGTTGGTAGGCTCATTTACATCCTAGTTCTTGTTGGTAGGTTCTATATATTCTAGTTCTTGTTGGTACTGGTAGGTTCATATATATCCTAGTTCTTGTTAGTAGGTTAATTTATATCCAAGTTCTTGTTGATAGGTTCATATATCCTAGTTCTTGTTAGTAGGTTCATTTACATCCTAGTTCTTGTTGGTAGGTTTATATAAATCCTAGTTCTTGTTAATGGGTTCATTTATATCCGAGTTCTTGTTGGTAGGTTCATATATATCCTAGTTCTTGTTGGTAGGTTCATATAAATCCTAGTTCTTGTTGGAAGGTTCATTTAAATACTATTTCTTGCTGGTATGTTTATTTATATGCTAGTTCTTGTTGGAAGGTTAATTTTTATCCTAGTTCTTGCTGGCATGTTTATGTATATCCTAGTTCTTGTTGGTAGGTTCATTTATATCCAAATTTAGTTTGGTATGTTTATTTATATCCTAATTTTGTTGGTATATTTGTTATTAAAAATTCTCTGGCATATTATACAAATTGTCTTCACTCACTTTAATGAGATTGAAACCTCGGAGAAGTTGTTTGATCTTCCTAAAACCTTCATTTTTCTCCAACCCTCGTAAACTCCTGTTATATGTAGAACCTGAAGAAGAATTTTAAGTTTTCTTCTAAACTTAATCCTATGTATGTTTCAGACAACGTTGAAATAGAAACGAAAGAGGAGGATGGATCATTACCAAACCGTAAGACGGTTGTGAGTAAACTCAAGATGACCGCCAAATCTGGTGACAACCAGGCAACCTACGCCTGTGAGGCGGTTCACGGGGGCCTGCGAGGGGAAACCCGCCGTGTGAACTTTCTTCTTTCAGTACAATGTAAGTAAATGGAGTTGGAACTAATTAAGAATTGTCTCTATTCTATTCTCGGCATTATCTGACGAGTTAAAACTCCTGAATTCACAGTTGCATAGTTCGCACACCAACATTCAACTCTAACTGTTACATAAAACAATTCAAGAAGAAGTTATAGTACAATTCTTGAACATTTTAAACAACAAATTTTTTGTAAAAATCCCAGGATAGAATGCTCAGCCTTTTTCATAGTTTTACAGTTTGTAATAAACGTCAAATCAGGGAAGTTCTGAGCAAACTAAAGATTTATCCAAGCTTTGAAATTACAAGATAACGTCGCTTTCTTTCTTTTCCTTGAATGAATCTAAGTATGCTGGCTCTGAAAGACTTGTATTGATGAGAACCCGGTTTTAATCCAATAATTTCCTTTTCCATCCCGGAGCACTTGGTTGGAACAACATTGTACTAAACCTTACACCCGGATACTTCTAACTAGATACAGGCAGATTCAGAAAACATGAAGATGATTTGTCAGATGAATAACAAATAAGTAAAAACTTGCATGGAAGATATTCGCTAACATTAATTAAATATTATCCCTGAATTTACATGTTAAAGTATTTGGATGATGTTTAGAAACCAAAAATACTATTTTTACTTTTTTTAAAAGCTTAAATACTTTTATCTAGAAATTAAAGACTTTTTTGTCGTGACAGATAAATCCTTGTAAATTAATTAACATTTGTCCTCTGATATATTCTCACTACCCAGAGTAGATAAATTAAACCAAATCTATCCAACCTGTCGGAGATATTGAGATTAAACCCTATATTTCAGACCCACCGGAGCGACCTGAAATTATCGGATATATTGAAGGAGAAACAATAAGGATGGGACAAACTGTAACCTTGGTGTGTGAGTCCTACGGAGGGAACCCTCTAGCAACAATTATCTGGTATAAGAACGGACAGAGGATTGATCATTCCTACACAACGATGGGTTCCAAGAGCAAGAACGTTCTAAGATTTATTGCCGGGTCGGATGATAACAATGCAAAGTATAGATGTGAAGCTTCTAACATTATGGTCTCCAGTCCACTTGCTGCAGAGATGGTGATGTCAGTTCAATGTAAGTATCAATATTATCTACAAATTAATTAACATTGTTATCTCTGGTATCTTTTTAAAATTGTTAATTCTATCTTATTTTCTAGTTGCTCCGGATACAGTAACTATCAAGGGTCCTGAAATGGCTCGAATAAATGAAACTGTGACCCTGGAATGTGAGACCTCGAACTCGAACCCAGCCTCCTCTATCCAGTGGGTGATAGGTGGGCGTATTCTGCCAGCTATCTACACCAGGAACGATACCTCCGATGAGGGTGGATGGGTGACCAAGTCAAACATCTCCTTCACTGTATCTGACTCCTACAGGACTAAGAACGTCTCCTGCTATGCGAACAATTTTGCTCTGAGTACAACTAAAGTTCAATCTCATAAAATCACAGTTCTATGTAAGTACAGTATTCTCATTCAATTCAGAAATACAGTTTCTTTGCAACTTTCAAAATTTCAAAAGTTTTCCAAACTTTTTTCACCATAATAATAAGAGGCAGGTTGACGTTTCTTTTATTATCTAAAACATAAATCACTGAATTTGATTTTTTTTCTCAAAGATAAAAGTTGTTTAGAATTTTAGTAAAATTGAAAATAATGTTTTCTCCTACCCCTAAAGTCTAAAACCTAAAATTTATTCTGAAAAGTCTAATTCCAAATTGAGGATAATTTAAAAGCCAAGCTGAGCTCTGAGTGGATAATAATTTTATATGATTGGTGGCCATTTACATTCTATGTCACATTCATTTGGTTTTATTTCCAGATCCTCCCGATGATTTAACCATCACAGGGTACTCAACCGGAGATATAGTTAATGAGGGTACGGAGAGAAGGATCAAGTGCACGGCTGTCTCCGGTAACCCGCTTCCAACCCTAGAATGGTTTTCCGGAGACACCAAAATGGAAAACACAATCCCGGACGTAGGAGAGAGTGATTCCTACGTGAGCTCAGAGATATTTGTTAAAATTGACAGATCTGATAATGATAAAGTTTATGAATGTCGGGGTGTGAATGAAGCCAACCCGGATACTCCAGTCACAAAAAGCTTCAAGATGGCGGTAGAATTCCCACCAAGAATCCTTACAATCACGGTAGATCCCGAGAAACCTGTGGAAGGGAAATCAGCAGTTTTAACATGTATCACGGATACAAGTAGTCCTGGAGTTGAGATGCAGTGGAGATACAACGGAAATATTCTTCCCTCTACTGACTCTGTATCCCGACCTGGACCCTTTGCCGGAGTTGTAACAACCAACCTTCTTCATATTGATGTTACTACTAAGCATGTCGGAGCTGTGTTCTCCTGCGAGGCTAAACATAATCCATCTATGACCACAGTTCACAATTCTACGGTTCTCACCATCAAGTGTAAGCAAATTTATTTAGTTTTAATCCTGAATATTTGTCCGGCCTCCCTTTAATACTGTTTCTTTGTTGTATATATTTAAATTCCACTTCAAACATGTCTTTTTTAATTTAGATCGTCCCCAGTTCTCCGGGGTTAAAACTGAGTTCCTGGTAGAGGAAGGAAAGAGTGCAGTGTTGAGTATCGGAGTAAATGCTTACCCGGAAGTAAACCTGGATGATTACAGCTGGGAGAAGACGGCCGAACCTTCCATCTCCATACCTAAGTTGAACAGAACGGTTCCTGGAACTAGAATAGTCTCCGAGGGTGGAAGTTTAACGTTTAACAGCGTAGTACTCGGAGATGCTGGGATCTATGTTCTAAAAGTAAAGAACGAGGTTGGAGAGAGTACTGTTTCCGTCAAAGTTGCGATCCTGCACCCACCCAGGTTCACATTTTCTCTATTATACTCTGACAAGATTATTTATTGTAAAATATTCTTTCCTGACATTATGTGTCTTCTCTCTCAATCCTAATATTCAGATTCCTGCCAAACACGCTAGTGATCGAGGTAGATAGCGGAGCTCCGGCGGAAATCAAGTGTAACGTTGATGCGACGCCTCTCACTGCTTCAACCCTATCCTGGAAAAGACCAGATTACAAGTTTGGTAAGCAACGTAAAACTGGATCAATTCCTGTAAAATTAGTTTAGCATTTTTTCTTTCCATCTCTAATATCCCAGGGGCTTCATTCATTAAGTAAAATACAAAATAGTTAAATCAACCACTCATTTAGAACCTTTTCATATTCAACAATATTTCATTTCACCTGAATATTTTTGTGTTTAAGCATAATTAGTTTTATTTCATCCTAGACTCACATAGAGAATCAGGGACATAATTAATTTACTCTCTCCGGGACAGATGTATGTATGCAAACATCTAGAAATGAGATATGATCTGGTTTATTAAACACTAATCATTATGTATATACAGAGGAACGAGGAAAGATAAGGCTAACGGACTCAGGATCCGTCCTGACCCTCTTCAATACGACTAAGAGTGACTCTGGGGTGTTCACTTGTATCGCCAACAACGGAGTTCCAGCTTCAAAACCAGTTGAAATCTCCGAAACCTTCTATCTTCTTGTTAGACGTAAGTGCAGAGCGTTAAATCTTATTTACACCAATCCATTTTCCAACTTGCATTCTTTCCATCAACGGATAAAACCTTTTTCCTTTAGAGATAAATCTTTGAAAAGATTTCAAGTCCATCTTAATTCAGTCAGTTCTCTTCCTTCTACTTTTCCTTTACACAATACCTTTTCTCCTGGTGTAGATTTAAACTTTTAAACTTTCGCGGATATTATTTCGTGCCGACTCCGGGTCCGGTTTAGGAAACGTCATGATGACTGAAAATACTCCGCATGTTTCTCATGCCAGGGGAATGATGTAGTATCTCCTTTATACCTTGGTCTAGAAATAATAAATATCCTATAATACTACACACTACTGCTCCTAGAACCTATTTGTTTCGTCTTTTCTTATTATATTTATCCCAGGCATGCATAATGATCCTTCAAGACAAACAGTTTTCTCCGGTATCTTTATCATCCTTAGATATTCATAACAATACATGATATTATAAACTATACTGTAATCATTGTAAACAAACATTAAGGTGTTACAAACACAAACATATAAAAACAGAAAACACGTGAGTCTTCTAAACACAGACGTTTACAGGCACACACATATTACTAACACAATTAATGTTATAAACTCGATTGTTATACGAATATGAGTGTGTTTTAAACAATAAAAATAGTTTTCAAAAATAAACCTTCTATAATCACATTCACAATTTTTCACAATATTTCACAATATTTTTTTGTGAAAATGATAACCCAGTGTGTATGTATATTGTATATTGTATATTGTATAGAAAAGAGCCAACTGGGAAATTAACGCTTCTGATATATTTCAGATAAGCCGGACATCGATAAATCTCCTGGTCTATCCAAAGCTGGTTTCAACAGAGGGGACAAAGCCAAGCTACTCTGCAGAGCTACCGGAGCCAATAACATTACATTCTTCTGGCAGAAGGAAGGTCAGCAGCTAGCTACTCCAACACAACAATCTAAATCTTCAAAATATACCGAAACAGTTTCTAAACCTGATCCTCTAACCTGGGAGTCCTCCTTGTATATTGAAGATGTTGGTTCTACAGACTACGGAAAGTATAAGTGTGTTGCAACCAATGTTCTGGGTTCGGACGAACATACAATCCAACTTAACATAAAGAGCCATCCTGACCCACCAGAGGATCTACAAGCACTTGGGGTAACTTATAAATCCGTCACATTAACCTGGCAACCTGGGTTTGATGGAGGGTTTAAACAGAGATACAGGCTCAGGATGAGGAAGGAAGGAAGCGAGCATTTCTTCACCGTAGACGTCAAGGAAGACGTGACAACCTTCGAGGTCGGAGATCTTCAACCCAACTCCGAGTATAGTTTCACTATCATGGCGCATAACAAGATAGGAGAGAGTAACTATACTAGTTCTCCTGTCAAAGCTAAAACTGCAAGTAAGTAATTCATGAATAATTTATAAGGTTCAGATTAATCGGAGATTAACTCCGGTAGACTCCTAGACTCCTGATTAGTGTGTTACATCATTTAGATATTCAAACCTAGAATAGAGTAGGCTTTCAAATAGGACTTTATAATGGTGAGGTTTGATATAGAATAGTTAACTAGTGGTTAGTCTTTTAAGTAGAATTAGAAATGAGAATTAAGATTTAATAATAATTCTAAAAGATTAAAAAGAATAAAAGAAAGTTTTCAGTTTACCCAAAAAGAAAATTTCGGTAAGACTTAACAGGGTTTCCTAAGAATGATTAGGATTAGGAATAAGTTGCGTTTTATTTGACGTAATAAAATGTAAACCATGAAATTAGATCTGAAATCATGTTTTTTGTAAAAATAATAACATTTTTCTCATTTTTCATTATTTTTTCCACGCTGCCAGGCGAGGCTATTGCTGAGGTAAAAGAAGGTGAGAAAGGTAACCCTGATCCTCCCCGAGATGAATCCAGTAGTACTTTAACTATAGTAACCGTGGTTGGATCAATCCTACTTGTTATAAACCTTGCTCTCCTCTACTGCTATCTAAGACGGAGAGCAGCTAAGCATTTGTTCGGTAAGAAACTAAAACTAATCCTTGTATTGTTTTCTAGGTGACCCTCCCCCGGGTTCAAGGGATAGTGAGATTAACTCCGTCCTCAGCGAGAAGGAAGACATTCCTTTTCTAATAATTGTGACCGTCTCCGCTGTCGGAGTTGTCCTTCTTCTACTAAATATCGTCCTTGTCTCATGTTACGTCCGTAGGAGGATTACTGTAGCCGAGAAAAGTGCTCCGAACGGTAGGAAATCTATATTAGGTTCTTCTGCTAATCTCTCTTTCTCTGGGTGGTGTGATTATACAGAATATCATAGATCTAACAGGTTCATGATAGTCTGGAGATAAACTAACTTTTCCTTCGTTTTTACTAATCAAACTAACCCTTTAAGTAGTATTTAGATTAACTTACATTGTAATTTTTTCATATAAGATATGAGTAGAAGATAGTTCCTCTGAGGGGGGGGGGCTATTCGGGGAGCGTATAAACTTCCTGTTGCAAGAAATAGAGTATCCCTAGATAGCAATAACTTGTAGTATCTTCTATTCTCTGCTATTCTGATATATGAAAAGTATAATGTATTGTAGATACCATTGTTATGGAATATTGAACTAAAGAAAGAGAGAGAGAAATAGAGAGAGGGAAGTATTCTTTCGGTTTATCAATCTCTTATATAGACAGGGGGCTCTCTCTTGTTTGCTTCATTTCTCCGGTATGGAGAATGAAAGGGTTTGATGTGTACTGGTTGTAACTCCAGACACTTGTGTATAGTCTAGATATTGTGTCCTTGTTTGTTCACGGAGACAACAGACGGGAGAAAAACAAACCTAATTCATGCAAAACCTGAACCATAGAAGGAATCAAAAAAGTTTGAAACAAATCAATCTTTTTGATATATTACACCCAGCACGAGGGTTCATTTTCTACTAGTAAATCAGCACCTAGATTTATAATTAACCAAACTTAAAACTAGTTTTTACTTGAACTTGGTTCCAGAACCTAATTGAATCTGGTGTTTTGGTTCCAGAACCTCCTTGAGCCTGGTGTTACGGTTTCAGAACCTACTTAAACTAGGAGTTCTGGTTCTAGAATCTACTTGAACCCGGTGTTCTGGTTTAAGAACCTACTTGAACCTAAAGTTCTGGTTTCAGAATCTACTTAAACCTGGAGTTCTGGTTCCAGAACCTATTTGAACCCGGTGTTCTGGTATTAGAACCTACTTGAATCTGGTTTCAAAATCTGCTTGAACCTGGAGTTCTGGTTCCAGAACCGACTTGAACCCGGAGTTCTGGTTTTAGAACCTACTTGAATCTGAAGTTCTGGTTTCAGAACCTACTTGAATCTGGAGTTCTGGTTCCAGAACCTACTTGAACCTGGAGTTCTGGTTTCAGAATCTACTTGAACCTGGAGTTCTGGTTTCAGAATCTACATGAACCTGGAGTTCTGGTTTCAGAACCTACTTGAACCTGGAGTTCTGGTTTAAAATTTTCCTCTTAATTCATTCTTCTTTGTAATAATTTTCGCTATTCCGAATTCTTATTTTTTCTTCAGTCTCAGCTTCAAACCAATCCTTCTCTCCTCCTCCATAAATCTCCTACTCCTCCTCCTTTTCCTCCTACTACTCTTCCTCCTCCTCCTTCTACTCCTCCTCCTCCTCCTTCTCCTCCTCCTTCTAAGCCTAAGCCTAATTTGTGAATTCTGGTGAAATATTAATTCCGGATTCTGGGGTTGTTAAATCTAATTTTCCTGCACCACTTTCTTCAATCCAAGAATTCCTTCTTCTAAACCACAGAAAATCTTTATCCTAAGGAATTTTTGTTGCTCCAGATTTCCTGGAAGCTGTAGCTTTCAGGAACTTTAAGTTTCTATGGAGCTCTAAGTGTCACAAAAGCTTTGGGGTTCCTTAAAGATCTAAGTGTATCCCTAAAATGAGTTCCAGGGTTCCTAAAAGATCTAAGTGTATCCCTAAAATAAGCTCCAGGGTTCCTTAAAGTGTGTTCCTAAAATAAGCTCCAGGATTTTAAATCTCCAATAGAAGATTTCAGATGTTTGAGAGCACCAAGAGAAGCTCCAAAGCTAAATTCACCACAAAGTGCACTCTTCAACTTTACAATTAATTAGTGTTGAACTAGCTTCTCCGTACCCACTTCAATCTCAAGATCTCTCTCCTTCAATACTTGAAGAATTTAGAGAAATTAATTTCAAGAAGTTTGCTCATATCACATCATTTTACAATATCCGTTTTCCTCTGGAATATATCTCAAAAAAGATAATCCTGTATTTTTGTTTAACTGGGGTTTACACTATACATGACACGTAAAACTAACATACAACGGAGTGCATTCTGTCTATATCGGAATATCTAAATTCTTTGATCTCTCATTCAAACCCCGTCGAAATAGCGTACGAGACCTTCTATACTTAAAAGTTTTAAATACATGGGTCAAAATTTATAAAAAAAAACAAATACAAAAAATCTACGTACTTTAATGGATGAAAATGGGTTTTGAATTAAGAATCACTAGACTTTAAATCAAGTCCTCTAATTTTTCGTGATATAAACCAAGTGTTTATATGCACTTTGTTTGTATTTAAACATAGAACACATTATTTGCATGCTTGCCCAGTGTAAACAATTTAATTTGACATTTGAACAGTATATTCTGTATTTAACCTGTTTATTATATAAATAATATATATATATATATATAACAATTTAATTTGACATTTGAACAGTATATTCTGTATTTAACCTGTTTATTATATAAATAATATATATAGAAATAATAAACATTTATTAAAGGAGGAGGAAGCTCCAATGCTAGCAGTAAATCTGCTACTATTGAGATGTTTGTTGGGAGCAGTTATAACGAGACTATGGGGGATACACTCTCCGATGTCTCTGATAGATCCAGCAACTACTTTGCATCGGACATGGAGCACAGAAACTCACATATTCAGGTACAGTTCTCCTACCCAGGGGGAGAGGGATGCATCCTAAATTTTATTGTTTGGATAGTGAAAGCCTGATAAATAAAAAGGTTGGAAAAACTTTTCTCCTAAAAGTCATTTTCTGCAAGAAAAAGTTGTTGCTCCGGGTAGTTTAAAGTACGTGTGTATTAAATAGGGAACCGGAATACTTTATTGAAGATGGATCTAAGAAATAGTACGTTAAGAGAGGGGTAGGAATCCTACCGTAGGATTGAGTAGAAAAGAGCCGGTTACAATTGGGGAATAAAATGTCCCCCATTACCCTGCACATGTCTTCTCAAACTAAACTTTGGTTTTTAAGATGGTGAAAGTTTTTAATCTGGTTTTCGGGAAATGGTGTGTATATTGGTAAAAGTTTCTAGTAATGGCCTACAAACACAGAGCAGGAATAAATGAGAATAGTGATGACGCCATTGCCTATTTTTAAACAAAAGTCTGGCCAAAAATAAGCCAAATCTTGAAGCTTGATTATTTTTGATTTGATTTGATTGATTGTCAATGAGTCTATATTTTCTATGGTTGACGTCATAAGTATTTTGTTTTTTGTGTTTTCTCAAGCAGAGAATTTTCTTCTTTTTCTCTCAATGTTTTCCCTTTGCTTTAACATATACTCTACACAAACATATACATACATTACTTTAGATACACTTACTTAAAAATACATATTACATATATATATATATATATATATATATATATATATATATATTTACACAGAAATATAAAAAGTAAAAAAGAAATAAATCCTCAGGGAATTTAGAATTTAATGTCCCTTAACACTTGAGTTCTCTTTACCGTACATTAAACAGAAAACTATGTTTAAAAAACTTTTCAAAATAAACCAACAACGTGAAAACATAACAAAGAAAAAAGTTTATAACAGAATATATTTCTTAAGGATGAATTTGATGACCCGCGTATGCGAGGCCCTGGGAGTACATATCTTATAGATCATAATCCTATCTATTCATCCCAACCTGGAAACCATCCCCCCAGGTCCCTGGCTTCAGTTTACGGAACCCTACCCAAGCAGACACCTGGATACTCATATGACGAAGATCTCAGTCGACAAAGATTCATCCATTCTCTAGGTAGGTTCTATAGCACGCAGTTTCTTTTATATTTTTCATAAAAACTTAGGTTTAAACAGATTCTTCAGGTCATTCGTAAAGCACGTGATGTGCCATTTCATCTTTTCTACTTGTTTGGATATTAAAGAGAAAAACAAGAACTGAGAGTACTCTCATAATCTACAGTATTATGATTAATTCTTAAACTTTAGGAAAACTTTTGAAAAAAAAGATATTTCCGCGCAAACAACAATCATACTTTTAGTAGAATAGAACTATTCTAATACTTCTCTTCTCAAATCTTATCCTGGTCTTAATATGGTCCTTGTACAATCCTACCCAAATCCTACTTCAGTGTTTCTCAAACCCTTTATGAATCTTTAATCAATTTTTCTCCAATCCTTCACCAGTTCACGCAAAACTATACTCCAATCCGTCTTTACTTTTCTCAAATTAGTCTTAAACTATACTCAAACCCGTCTTAAACTTTTCTCCAATCCGTCTTTACTTTTCTCAAATTTCTTAAACTATACTCCAACCCGTCTTCAAAACTATACTCCAATCCGTCTTTACTTTTCTCAAATTTCTTAAACTATACTCCAACCCGTCTTAAACTATACTCCAACCCGTCTTAAACTTTTCTCAAATTGGTTGTTAAGTATTCTCCAATCCGTCTTAAACTCTTCTTCAATCCGTCTTAAACTATTCTCCAATCCGTCTTAAACTATTCTCCAATTCATCTTAAACTATTCTCCAATCCGTCTTAGACCCTTCTCCAATTATTTTCCAATCATTCTTAATCTCTCCAATCCTTCTCTAGTTCTTCCCATTTCAAACCCTATCCAGTCTCATCCTTCTTCCAATGCGACTTCGATCTTCTTGGAAACTAAATAACTTTATTTGAATTACTGAATGCAGTCCTTGGTTCAAACTGAGTTATTTTCTAAATGTTTCAGTTTCAATTCCTCTAGTTCTTGTTGGANTCAGCTATTTCTCCCAGAAAACTGACACTACTCTATGAAGTGTGTATGTTTGTCTGTTTTTAAGTTTTTGTTCTCCTTCTAAACAAGGCTTCCTATGATATAAAACAAGGTTTAACAGAATTTATCATGAATAATTTTCACTTCTATAAATAAAAAGACTTTTATTTACCTTAATATCTGTTTTTTTATTCTGCGCTTTCTCCCTCCTCTGCGGCCTTCCATTATTTCTTTCTACCCCCCCTCTACCTCCCCCCTCTTCCTTCCTCCTTTTTCTCCTTTTTTAAATTTTTTAAACTTTACACTCCATCAGCAACTAACTTTTAGTTTTATACTGTTTTTATTTTCTTTCTCTTATTCTGGTTTTTCCATTCTTTTCTTTTTGTCTTTTCTTCTCTTTCCCCCATTCCTTCCTTTCTTCTCTATATCTCTTTTCTTCTCTTTTTTCCCTTCCTTCGTTTCTTCTCTTTATCTCTTCTCTTCTCCTTCTATTCTTCTACAAGATGGAAACCAATAATCGCTCCCTGATGTTTTCTATTAAAGAATTTTATTTCCTTTCATTCTACTGCAGTATTCTTTTTAATTTTCAGACAACAACTCCCCCTACGCCCTACAATATAGCAAAGTTTAAACCCCGAACCTACTGCAGATGATTCTGCAGATTAAACCTAATGTGAGAGATTCTCTTGACTAACCAATATTTCCTTGAGTTTCCAATTTCCCTCCTGCTTTACTAACAACATGTTATCTTTTTACCAGACCTGACTAGCATAACAGAAGAAGAGACGGGGTTGGTCTGGTTATGACCAACCGGACCAACTACCTTGAGCTAAGGTACAGCATGCGTCTTCCTCAACCCTGTCCTACATACTTGCTCATACAACTCCCAAACCCTGCACTTTATACTCTCATCTCTAGTTTTAGAACTAGAAGTTTAAATCTACACTTTCTGCACTTTATATAGATTTACTATGATCATATAAAAACTACTGTTTCAGCATGTTACCAGGGTTAATAACTTACATAAAGTCTTAAATTTAGTTTAAAATGAAAATATGATTATTAGACGTATAGAGATTCTATAGATGTCTAATTGGAATTTTAAATGGCCTAATTTATTAAATTGTTTCTAGATTGTAAAAAAGAATACATACCGACTACTCCACATTATATAATTTGTTTGTAGATAGGGTAAACCTTTAGCTTATCCAGGGTCTTTTAGAAAACATGTAGCTTCAAAGGAATTGAGTCAATACCACAAACTCTGAATTTATAATTCTTATGTCTTTGGAACCCAATGTCGTACATCTTTGATATTTCAAAGTTCAAACTTATATAATTTGATCTAAAAGAATTCATAGTTTGAAATACCTAAGGTCTACGACATTGGAATCCAAAGAAATACGGTTTAGAAAAGTAGAGTTTGTGGCAAAGACTCAATTCCTTTAATTGAAGTTTCGTGATTATGAGACATCCCTTGAAATAAAAAGATTGAGGCTGATAAACCTTAAACCTAATCCTCCCGATGCACATCAAGTTCAAGTAACAATAGTTTTATGTTAAAAGTTTTAAGAGGCGCCCTTAATGGCACTTTCCTCCTTAAATCTTACATTGCCAAAGTAGTTTTTTTTTACACCAGACACCATTTTATTTTGTTCACATATTTAACAAGCATGCATAACGACACTATTTACTTATCATTTGTATATGTCATTTATGTTTACGCTAGAAAGGAATTGAGCCTTTGTCACAAACTATGATTTTCAAATCTCCATATCTTTGTAACCCAATGCCGTAGACCTTGATATTTCAATCTATGAATTCTGATAGATCAAATAATCTAAGTTTGAAATATCAAAGGTGTACACTATGAGGTGGAAAAAATATAGGTATTAGAAAATCAGAGTTTGTTACAAAGACTCAATTCCTTTATCTATTGCTAAATACTGTAAATGCATACAAGACATAGAAGCGTAAATATTTATAAATGGTTCCAAATCCTAGATTAAGGTAACGGAGCTGGAAGATTTAATGATTTATTCAGAACAGGAGAACCTACCAACCTTGCCAAGTGAAGAGATATTTCATTTTCTTTTCCCTTAGATTCGTACCAAACCTATTTAGCTCAGAATTTTCCCCTCTCAAACCTGGACATTTAGCTCAGCCATTTTCATTGCCAAACCTAGACATTTAGCTCAGACTTTTACCATCCCAACCTGAACTTTTAGCTCCTTAATTTTTATTGCCAAACCTAGACTCAGCTCAGACTTTTCCCGTCCCGAACCTTTTCATTTAGCTCAGACTTTTCCCGTCCCAAACCTGGACATTTAGCTCAGCCATTTTCATTGCCAAACCTAGACTCAGCTCAGACTTTTCCCGTCACGAACCTTTTCATTTAGCTCAGACTTTTCCCGTCCCAAACCTGGACATTTAGCTCAGCCATTTTAATTGCCAAACCTAGACTCAGCTCAGACTTTTCCCGTTCCAAACTTTTTCATTTAGCTCAGACATTTCCCCTCCCAAACCTAGACATTTAGCTCAGACATTTCCCCTCCCAAACCTGAACTTTTAGCTCAGTAATTTTTATTACCAAACCTAGACTCAGCTCAGACTTTTCCCGTCCCAAACCTTTTCATTTAGCGCAGACTTTTCCCGTCCCAAACCTGGACATTTAGCTGAGATCTTTCCCGTTCCAAACCTTTTAATTTAGCTCAGCCATTTTCATTGCCAAACCTAGACATTTAGCAAAAAGTTAGAAATTCTAAAGTTAGAAATTTCAAAAATTACACCATCACGGTTAAAAAATAAAGGAACTAGAAAACTAGAATATGTGGCAAGCACTCAGCTCTATTAAATCAAAACCAAATATTCTTATCTTAATGTCCGGTATTTTTTTCTTTCCTCACTAATTAGGATTGTCAAATATCAGCAATATATCTCTTAATTTGAGATCATCATCTATTTTAACCAGATCAATAAAATATCTAGTTTAATATGCAATCCAAAACGTTAAGATTTAAAATTTAAAGTTAAAACTGCAACTTCCTTCCTAAATTGCCGCCCCGACTCTTTCCTGCTAATATAGTTTGGAGCACCGCAACCTATTTCCTACAATAGTTTGGAGCACCGCGACCTCTTTCCTACTATAGTTTGGAGCACCGCGACCTCTTTCCTACTAAAGTTTGGAGCACCGATCTCTTTCCTACTATAGTTTTGAGCACCACGAACTCTTTCCTACTATAGTTTGGAGTACCGCGACCTCTTTCCTACTATAGTTTGGAGCACCGACTTCTTTCCTACTATAGTTTGGAGCACCGACCTCTTTCCTACAATAGTTTGGAGCACCGACCTCTTTCCTATAATAGTTTGGAGCACCGACCTCTTTCCTACTATAGTTTGGAGCACCGACCTCTTTCATACTATAGTTTGGAGCACCGACCTCTTTTATACATTAGTTTGGAGCACCGACCTCTTTCCTACAATAGCTTTGAGCACCGACCTCTTTCCTACTATAGTTTGGAGCACCGACCTCTTTCCTAATATAGTTTGGAGCACCTACCTCTTTCCTACTTTAATTTGAAGCTCTTACTTACAAGTGGTTAGGAGTCACTACTATTTCAATTCTTTACTATTTACTGAGTTTTCTCTTTGTTAATAATTTAGTAATGGGAAGAAATAATTCTATTTATTTTATGATTAATGAAACCTGTTTATAAATCAAACGTTCATTTTCAGCTTTTTCTTTATTTTTTTTTCTTTCAATACCGTTAAATCATTGTTAATATATATATATATATTTTTCTTTCATTTCTAATAATAGAAATTGCTAAGTTGTATCTGTTATGACTACTGATATGTCTCTTAAAATGTTCAAGGTTTATGTTTAGAGCTATAACAGATACAAATATACAAATCTTTAGCTAAATAAAAATCTCTATTTTTTCCAGTTTAGAAGAAAATAAAAAGTATTTAATAATATCTAACTAAAAAATTCCCATTCTTCTTTTCAAAAATTTTTTCTCCGTTTAAATTAAATATTTTTAAATCCTTTATTAATCCAACAATAGTTTGAAACAGTTAAATTAATAATCTGTATCTTGCAGGGGACCCAGAGCAGGACCGGATTCCCCGAACCTACCAAACACAGAACCAATATCAGTATGATCTTCCACCACCTCCTCCTCCTCCGATTGAGTTGCCATACACCTACCAGAACATATATCCAAGATATCTTCCTCCGATGGATCCAAACTGGAAAGGAGGAAGATTTGGAGATGTTTAAAAGATCCTCATCCAGGATTTAAATCCCTGGATTTAACTCAGATCTGGATTTAACCTAATTCCAGCTAAATCTTGAGTTGTATCAATAGGTTGTCTTGTTATACCAACAACATGATCAGGTTTAGCAACCAGAGCAAATTTAAGTCCTGAGAAGGATTAAACACTGGACTTAATATCCCTTCAGGGGAGAAGCTGGATTACAGGATAAACTCGAAGTTTCGAAAAACATGTTTGTACGAAGTGATCTTGAGCTTTTAATCTTAACTCTAACTCTAGGAGATGAGTATCCTGACTAACCACACAGAAAAGTTTAATAAAATGGCGCTTCTCCAATATGATTAATTTTACAAAATACATCTCTCCAAAGATAGACCTAGACCTCACTATTTTCAGATCTCAAACATTAAAGAGAATCCGTGCTACGTTAATGAACCCAGAGGTGGAGTTTTCAGCTGCATAATTTGAATTCAAACATAAAAGAAACGCCGGGAGAAATGTTGTTTGAAAGTTCTACCTCTGGGATCAAATAATTCAATTTAAAACCTCTGTGATATATTTGTACTGTTAAAACTAAATGTATTGATATAATTAATAATAAAACATTAAATATTGTTGTCAATAAAGCGGAAAATTGTTTTTGTTAAACATTTTTGTATTTTAATTACTTTGAATTGAAATATTTAGTTTAAAAGCTTTATTAGATCTTTTATTCTTTTTTACTTTAAGGGAGTGAACCGAAATAGGTTTAACACCTCCTCTTTTTTCTTTAATATCTGAACTATCCCTTATTTGATTAAAAAGTTTGCATATATTTTAACTATTCGAAAACGTAAGTGTCGTTTAAAAATTTTTCCAGAAGGTAATGAGTGGATGGTATTAATTTGTTTTTGGTATTAAATTTTCATTTTCAGGAAAGATGCGAATTATACTTACACGCCCCCCCCCCCTGTGAAGTTCTTGTGTACGCCCATGGCTCCACATAATGTTGGTTTGCATTCATCCAATAATCTCTGTACTCAAAGAGAAGCTCTCACAAGTTTAGTTGAGAATATATATAGTATATACATTATCTTCTAAACACTTATCCATTACAATTGAGTTCTCCCCCTCTCTTTTACACCCTCCCCCCTCCCACAATGCTCCCATTCCAGGATTTATATTTCTAAATTTGAAATATGAGAATATGATAACAGCGGAATTAGAAAAAAACAGATGAAAATTGATAAATTAAAAATTAAAGTCATGTTTATGAAATTAAAGGAGCTTATCCTGTAGGAAAACAATATCCTGGATTAAAGGAACCTAACCTAAAGAAGAAGAACATATCCTGTAGTAAAGAAACTTATCCTGGAGTCAAAAAACTTATCCTGTAGTAAAGGAACTTATCTAAAGTAGAGGAGCTTATCTAGGAGATAGGAACTTTTCCGGAACCAGAGGAAGTTTTCTAAGAGTAAAGTAATTTCTCCCAGAACATAGGAACTTTTCTTTAGTCAAGAACTTATCCTAAAGTCAAGGAACTTATCCTAGAGTCAATGAACTTATCCTAGAGTAAATGAACTTATCCTAGAGTAAAAGAACTTATCCTAGAGCCAAGGAACTTATCCTAGAATCAAGAAACTTATCCTAGAGTCAAGGAACTTATCTGAGAGTAGATGAACTTATCCAAGAGTAGAGGATCTTATCCAAGAGTAGAGGAACTTATCTGAGAGTAGAGGAACTTATCCAAGAGTAGAGGAACTTATCTGAGAGTAGAGGAACTTATCCAAGAGTAGAGGAACTTATCTTAGAGTCAAGGAACTTATCCTAAGAGTCAAGGAACTTATCCTAGAGCCAGGGAACTTATCCTAGAGTCAAGGAACTTATCCTAGAGTCAAGAAACTTATCCTGGAGTCAAGGAACTTATCCTAGAGTCAAGGAACTTATCCTAGAGTCAAGGAACTTATCTAAGAGTAGAGGAACTTATCTAAGAGTAGAGAAACTTGTCTAAGAGTAAAGGACGGGAGTTTCCCTTAGAAAAAAAGAAATTCCCAAACAAGAGATTATTTATGTCTAAATTGTTTTATTCTATAAAATAAAAAGTTTAGATGAAAGATTACTCTGAAACTGTTTCCAATATAGATTGGAGAAGACGGAATGTATTATTGCTCTCTATTCTACTCATGATTGATATAGCATAAGAACTCAAGAATTTCATTTTATTTTATCTCTTTAAAGAAAGTTCAGACAATAAAACTAAAACCTTTTCTAGAAACCAGATGAACAATAAATATGTATGCATGTATAATACAATAATACATCTTATAATGAATAAAAAGTTCTGATAAAGATAAATAGATGTAAAGAACATGAAGGAGTAGAGTAAAGGATATATTTTATCCAGAGAATTAAGAAAACATGGTTAAGGAGGAGCAGAGTGTCCAGAAACCCAACCTGGAGCAAAACCAATCCGATATGCAAGGTCTTCCCTCTAATCTACATTTTTCCAATATGGGGTATACACTATACAACTATATAACTAGAGAGTAGACATGTTTTCAGAATATATAGATATATATATACTTTGCTTGTCTGTCATACCTGGGTGTTTGTTTGTATACAATAAACGTCAAAACGGCTGAACCGATCGAGCCCAAATTTTGTGTGGGACATCACATGACTCCAAGGAAAGTTTATGAATGATCAAAATTGTAAAAAATATCCTCCAACAAAATTCGATTTTAATTAAATTTTGAAAATCCGTGACGTTTTTTTGTTAATTTTTTACAATTAATACAAAGAGGAAATGTTCACAATTGAAATAGAAGATGGACGCGAAGCGCTCTGAAAGCCTGGTAGAATATATTTATGCAGCACAGTGAAATCATAAAAGTCCAGAAACAATAGAACAACCAGGATTCAAATTGAGAACAATTAAATATTGATATCTTCGTACATTGAAATCGGAAACATTTCATTTCGTAACAAGTTACTCAATACAGAATCTTAAAACTCAACCAGATAAAAAACTTTGTGGTACTAAAACCCTGAGAACTATGGGAGTACTTAAATTCTGAGAACTATGGGAGAACTTACACCCTGAGAACTATGGGAGCAGTTAAACTCTGAGAACAATGGGAGACCTTAAACTCTGAGAAATATGGAAGAACTTACAACCTGAGAAATATGGGAGAACTGAAACTCTGAGAACTATGGGATAACTAAAACCCGGAGAACTATGGGATTACTTAAGCTCTGAGAACTATGGGAGATCTTATACTCTGAGAACTATGGGAGAACTGAAACTCTAAGAACTATGTGAGTACTTAAACTCTGAGAACTATGGAGTACTTAAACTCTGAGAACTATTGGAGACCTTACACCCTGAGAACTATGGGAGAACTGAAACTCTTAGAACTATGGGAAAACTTAAACCTTCAGAAATATGGGATAACTTAAACCCTGAGAACTATGTGAGAACTGAAAATCTGCGAACTAGGAGAGAACTATAAAACCCTGAGAAATATGGGAGAACTGAAACCCTGAGAAATATGGGAGAACTGAAACCCTGAGAACATGAAAACACCAAGCATTGTTTCCGTTGGTCTCCAATCCATCTTTTGATGAGGAGAGTTCTGTTAAATCTCAACTATCAATTCATCAAGGAAACAAGGATAGGACGAATTTATCATTGAAAAATAGATTGGAACACCCAAGATAAGGGATGAGGGAGGGGGGGGGGGCTGCAGCATGGTGGTCCTAGAATATCTGAAATATTTCAATCACACCTCTAGCTATCTCTTTATCACCTGATAGGTAACGGAGAAAATGATAATTGAAGATCGCTGTTTGAGATCGATCATCGATTACATTTCTTTCATTCCGTTATACGTTTACAATTCTTTTATAGGTTTACTTTTTCATTCCGTAATCCGTTTACAATTCTTTTATGGATCCACTTTTTCATTCAGTTATACGTTTACAATTCTTTTATAGGTCCTCTCTTTCATTCCGTTATACGTTTACAATTCTTTCATAGATCCTCTCTTTCATTCCATTATACGTTTACAATACTTTTATAGATCCACTCTTTCATTCCGTTATACGTTAACAATTCTATTATAGGTCCACTATTTCATTCCGTTTACGTTTACGATTCTTTTATAGGTCCTCTATTTCATTCCGTTATAAGTTTACAATTCTTTTATTGGTTTACTCTTTCATTCCGTTATACGTTTACAATTCTTTTATAGGTTTACTCTTTCATTCCGTTATATGTTTACATTTCTTTTATAGGTTCACTCTTTCATTCCGTTATAGTTTACAATTCTTTTTATAGATATACTCTTTTCAATTTGTTATACGTTTACAATTCTTTTATAGATCCTCTCTTTCATTCCGTTATACGTTTACAATTTTTTCATAGGTCCACTCTTTCATTCCGTTATACGTAACAATTCTTTTTATATGTCCTCTCTTTCATTCCGTTATACGTTTACAATTCTTTTATAGATATACTCTTTCATTCCGTTATTCGTTTACAATTCTTTTATTGATATACTCTATCAATCCGTTATACATACAGAAAAACCATAAACCACTCGAATGGGAAGAAGACTTTAAGACTCAAGTTTAGAAAGTCTAATGAACATGAACAGCTAGTGTGCAGTGTAAATAGACCCATTTCATTTAATAAGTGATTTAATAATTTACTTGGCAAAATATTAGCTTTGTTATAACATTATTTATTGCTTTAATGTCGTCTTTCTATTTCAGAGGTTTTTTGGCTCTCGCTATATTTTCCGGCTCGTTCTATATTTCTAGTTCTGTGCTTTATCCTCTTTGTTGATCACTGTTCAGTGATACTTGATTTTGTTCTAAATATATTTGAATGAATACTATAACTAAAAGTATATGTGCTGTTGATTCGTAATAACATGTTCATGTATCAGAATAGTTTTTTGCACACTTGTTTGCCGATTCCATTAGCACCTGATCCAATCAGGGGTCAGTCATGTGTTTGTTTTCTATTCTGAACCGATAGAAATTGCATGGCGGTAACATCTATCTTTCTATCTAACTCGTCATTCAATTAGAGATGAATCCTTAAATTGGCGCTTAGCAGTAAATGGAAATATTTACTTCTCCTGAACCTGAAGTACTTGAGCTACTGGATAGGATACAGAAGGATATTTAAGAGAGTATCTTTAAACAAAACAGTTTCCTATTAGGGGGTCATATATATAGTTCAATAGTCTATAAGTTCAATAATTTTGCAAAAGTAACCATGGAACAGATTAAATGAGTTTGAGCCAGGTCTTGAATCGGTGATTCAGGATTTGTCCATGTCCTATAGATGTAAAGCCACAGCCAAAGTTGCCAATTTTAAGCTGCCATCACTTCCTTAATAATGGGCCAAAAAAAATTTTTTTTCCATCGATCGAAAATGCGTAGATTTTGAAAATGTTCAAAAATATAAAAATCGAACCAAGAGCTGTAGTTTTTTTGGTATATTTTATCCAGGTTCTGGATAGAGTGAAGAAGATCCAGGACTGGTTATATTTTCTCCAGGTTCGAGATAGAGTGAAGAAGACCCAGGACTGGTTATATTTTCTGCAGGTTCGAGATAGAGTGAAGAAAATCCAGGACTGTCTATATTTTCTCCAGGT